AGAATCAGTTGCATATTGTTCTTTAAGCATTTCAAATCCCAGCAGCTTAGTTTCAAGATTAGAAAGTAATACGTACCTCCGGGATAGTGCATTAGCAACTATATTATCCTTACCTTGTTTGTGTTTAATGACGTAGGGAAAAGTCTCTATAAACTCAACCCACCGTGCATGCCTCTTGTTCAGCTTGTGTTGGCCTTTTAAATGCTTTAGAGATTCATGGTCAGTGTGGATGACAAATTCCTTAGGCCAGAGATAGTGCTGCCAAGTTTGCAAAGCCCGGACCAAGGCGTACAGCTCCTTTTCATAAGTGGGGTAGTTTAGAGTGGCTCCTCCAAGCTTTTCACTGAAATAAGCAATTGACCTTTTATCTTGCATCAATACAGCTCCAATACCTATACCTGATGCATCACACTCAATTTCAAAAGTTTTAGTAAAATCAGGTAGTATTAGAAGAGGGGCATTGGTGAGCTTCTGTTTCAGCGTCTGAAATGCCTCTTCTTGTGCTTGCTCCCACTTGAATCATACATCCTTCTTGATGACTTCTGTGAGTGGAGCAGCAATAGTGCTAAAATCCTTTACAAACCTCCTATAAAACCCTACAAGTCCATGGAAGCTTCTAACTTCTCCAACAGACTTGGGACTTGGCCATTCTCTGATTGCTTTCACCTTTTCTTCATCCACCTTAACTCCATCTGCACTTACAACAAAACCTAAAAATACAAGGTTATCTGTACAAAAAGTGCATTTCTTAAGGTTAGCATAGAGCTTCTCATGCCTAAGAACACCTAACACAGATTCTAGATGCTTAATATGCTCATTTAGGTCTTTGCTATAAATCAGAATGTCATCAAAGTAAACCACAACAAAGATGCCAATGAATGCCCTAAGAACATGATTCATCAATCTCATAAACGTACTAGGTGCATTAGTGAGCCCAAATGGCATGACAAGCCATTCATAAATACCGTGTTTAGTTTTAAAAGCAGTCTTCCATTTGTCACCCTCTTTCATTCTAATCTGGTGATAACCGCTTTTCAAATCAATTTTAGAGAAGATCTTAGAACCATGCAGCTCATGTAACATATCATCTAGCCTAGGGATAGGGTGTCGATACTTTACAGTGATATTGTTGATGGCTCTACAGTCAACGCACATCCTCCAGCTCCCATCCTTCTTTGGTACCAGCAGAACAGGTACAACACATGGGCTCATGCTTTCTCTTATATGGCCTTTTTCCATGAGTTCTTCCACCTGCTTTTGAAGTTCTTTGGTCTCCAATGGGTTGGTTCTATAAGCTGGCCTGTTTGGTAGGGTTGATCAAGGGACGAAGTCGATCTGGTGCTCTATTCCTCTAATAGGTGGCAAGCCTATTGGGCTCTCTTCTGGAAAAACGTCTTGATAGTCCTGCAATAGTGTAGTCATTTCACTCGGTAATACCGGTGCAGGGTTAGTGAAGCTCAGGAGGGTCTCCTTATACACAAGCATTAGTACAAGTTTCTTTGTAAATAATGCTTTCTTAACCTCACCAGCTTTGATAAAGAAATTAGGGCGCTTGACTACCTTTTCCTCCTTTCTTTTGAGATGAATCTGATCTTGATATATCTCCTGAGGCGTCATAGGGACTAAAGTGATCTTCTTTCCTTTGAATTCGAAGGTATGGCGGTTGGTAAACCCATCATGCATCACTTTTCTATCAGACTGCCATGGTCTCCCAAGAAGGATATGCCCTGCTTCCATTGGCAGCACATCGCAAACAATCTCATCTTGATACTTACCAATACTAATAGGGACGGTTACTTGGCTGTTGACCTTCATCTCTCCATCGTCATTGAGCCACTGCAAGTTGAATGGCTGTGGATGCTTTCTTACCTTTAACCCAAGCTTCTGGACCATGGTGGCGCTGGCAACGTTAGTACAGCTACCCCGTCAATGATAAGACTGCAGACCTTGTCTTGAACATGGCACCTTGTATGGAACAAATTCTCTCTTTGTTCTTGTTCTTCCTTCTTAGTTTGTAAGCTCAAAGTCCTTCTGGCAACTAGTAGTTCTCCTTTAGCGGGTTTCGCCTCATACTCTTCGCAGGTTGAATCAGACTCTTCTTGTTCTTCCCCTTCAGATGCTATCTCACCATTCTCTAAGAGAATCATAATCTTCCTGTTGGTACACTCATTAGCATAGTGGCCACGTCCTTGGCATTTGAAGCATTTAACATCCCTAGCTCTGGTTGGATTAGCAATGTTCTTCCCCTTGTCTCTGAATGAATTTTGGTCAGGTTTGGTTTCTTCTTTTGGAGCAGGAGCTATGAGCTTAGAATCCCTTGGGTCGCTTGATTTACTATCCTTGTAGTAACTAGATCTTGAGGCTCCTGGTCCATAGCTAGATTTTGCAGTTCCCTTTCTTTTTAGTTGCTTCTCAATCAGATTTGCCTTGTGTAGCATTTCCTCTCAGTTCCACAGTGTTGTAGCTCTAGGTTATCTTGTATTACTCTGTTTAGCCCTCCTAAGAACCGTGACATTGTGGCTTCTCCATCTTCCTGAACGTCAGCTCTAAGCAAGAGGGTCTCTAGTTCTTGGTAGTACTCCTCAACACTTCTGCTGCCTTGAGTGATTCTTCTTAACCTTTGGTGAAGCTCCCTATGGTAATGGCTAGGCACACATATTTTTCTCATACATGCCTTGAGTTCTGTCCAAGTCTCAATGGGATATTCGCCGTTTTTTCTCCTAGAGGTCACCACTTGATCACACCAGCTCAAAGCATAGTCATAAAATTCGGTGGCAGCAACTCTAACTCGGTTGGCCTCTGTACAATGCTGCAGGTTGAAGACCAATTCAATCTTTTTCTCCCATTCCAGATAGGCATCTGGATCATTCTTCCCATGGTGGTATCTTCAGCTTAAGACCTTTCAAGTTATGATGTCTACGTTCTTTGCCTTCTCCATGATGTCTACGGCTTCTCCTGCTTCGCTGAGAGGCACGACTTTGATTCTCATAGTAAGGGTCAGTGTCTCCACCTTCATCCTCCTCATCGTGATTCCTCTGTAGTCTTGCAGGCCTGTTGTTGTTAACTTCCCGTTGTCTTCTAGGTAGGCTATGATCGGTCTCTTGCCCAGATTGTTGAAGCTCTTGCATGAAGGCATCAAACTTGGGATTCATCATTTGTTCAAGTCTAGCTGAGAGGCAGGGCCGGCCCTGAAAAAAATGGGGCCAAATACGAAACAGAAAACGGGGGCCCTTATACCACATCTTAAAACCATAATAAAACTCAAACATATTCAGTTTCACACATAAACATAAAAGTAGCCAATGAAACATAAATTCTCCAAAATCAATCAAAAATCATAAACATGAATAAATTATCAACTAAATAGGAAAATTACCTGTCATGACTATAGAGTATTGACTGGAAAAGTGAAGATTGAAATTGAAGAATAGTAGAGTCGATGAAAAGAGAAACAGAGAAGAAGAAGATACTCAAAGGTCGTGGCCTCGTGGGAGAGAAAAAGAAGTATAATGAATTAGAGTTGAGCTTTTTTTTATTGGTTGTCTGACACGGTGACACCACCTAAATTGTTTATTTTCTGTTTTTTAAATGTTTTCTTTCCATACTTTAATTTACATTTATTCTAGGAATATTCTTGTTATAGGACATGAACGATTAATAAAACTGTATATGTATGTATTAAAAAAAATTAAATGGGGGCCCTATAAAAATGGGGGCCCAAAACCATTGTTTCGCCCTGCTCTGCTCAGGGCCGGCACTGCTGAGAGGGCTTCTATAAGTAATTTGTTGTTTTGACCATTCTCAGTATCTTCATTACCAGCCATTGTACCTGATATGATCACACAAACACTTGCAGGATCAAATGCTTTTAAGGAAGCCTACAAATTAAAATCTCATTTCTCAAAACACAGAATTATGATGCAGACAGTTGCAAGTTTGTGCAGATGCAGTGGTTCCCAATCAACAAAATGATCATACAAATGATAGATCTAAGCTAAAACAAGACGAAACTCAAAATGGAAGCAGAAACAAAACAGATCGAGGAAATATAATCGCGAAATGCAAGGGAGACGAACAGAAGGACAAGCTCGACCAGATCGATCGAGCTGAGCACTCGAGCTAGACAAAAAAATAAGAGAAGATGAACAGACAGACTAGCTCGACCAGATCAATCGAGCTAACCACTCGAGCCAGAGAGAAAATAAGAAGAGACAAGATTAGGGTTCGAAATGACTTAGCCTTTCAAAGTGGCTCTGATACCACATGATACGATTCTCCTACAGATCGAAACACACTATGATGGGCTAAGAGAGTGAATCGTTGAGGTGGGGGTGGTGAGTGAGGGAATGGGTGCGCGGAGGTGATTTCTTCAAAAGGAGCGGAATGACTCTTGAAAAACGGATGGAGATCTCTAGATATGAAAACCCAAAGATCGGATTCCTTGACTGATATGACACACAATCAAAGAGGGGATAGATGTTGGATATTACACACCAACAGATCAAGCTTAAAAAAAGAGTTTTTGATAAAAGACTTCATAAGAGTTGCAAAATGATACAAGAGAGATATAAATAGAGAAAACAAGAAAACCCTAGTGTCTCACACTCTCAGCCACGCCCAACATGAGATAATGGGCCTCAGATCACTAATGGGCCATTTCGAAGTGGGTTACTTGCCTCATTAAAAACCTAACAAGGAAAACCCATTTGGGACAAAACCTTTGTTGAACTTTCTGAATTTGTAAGTTTCTCTTCACTCTTTATCTTTCTGATTTTCTTAACATATGTTTTTCATTTCATAATTTCACACCTTACAACATTGATTACACATACATACTTATAGTAGGAGTTTTCTTGCCCCATACTCTCACATTCTTAATCATAAGCTCTAGCTAACCTATTCTCCTTAGATGCACTGATCACTAGCTCTAGGTCTAAGCTTACAAGCAAAACAACTAACCACTCTCTTACACAGCCACTCAAGCTAATAACTCACGTAACATAACCAAACTAAGTTAACACTAATACTTAGGACATAACAACACATATAAACGTGTGGGCTTAAGTAACCCAACAACAAACAAAACATTCTTCTCTTGGGCCTATACCATCAAAGGCCCAAAACACTTCTTAACCCAAAAACACTTTGACTTCTTCTTCTTTCTTTAATCGACGTCACCAACGCTTCTTCTCTTCTTCACTAGATTCTGGGTTTCTTTACACCAATCCACATCTTCTCTTCTTTGTTCTTCAAACCTTTATCATTGATGCTTGTATTCTTCTTTGCAGATTCAATTGGAGAGATCAATCTCAACACTCCCTCTTGATTTCTTCGATTGAATCCCATAGATGAATTTAGGGATTTGAGTTTTGGTACCTTTAGTTCATTGCGGCTTAGCCAATGTTTCATCGGAGGGGCTCGTTTTAGAGCGTCAGCATAGCTCATGGGAGTGTTCAGTTTCACCATCTCTCTCTTGCTTGAGGTATCAATGGTACTTGCATCTTCAGGTTTCGATTCTCCCTCTATAACCATTTTTTTCTGAATTTCATTCGTCCCTTCTGATTCAACTAGTTTTACCTTTTTCTTTTCCTGCAGAATTTCGGGAGACCGAGCATTGAATTCATTAACCTTTTTGGTGATCTCTATGGTGGCTTTTCTCAATTCACCATCGGTTCTTCCTTCAACAGATTTCAGCTTGCTTTGTTGGTTTTCTTGATTCATACTTGATTCTCCCGTCTGGATGATGTTTGGTTTTCCAGACACAAGTAAGCATTTCAACTCTTCCTTTTTCTTTTCGCTCTTTTGAGCAACTTCAATTGGTTCATTGACCTTGAATCTCTTTTGGTTATTTTCGGAACTTCCTTTGTTCACTTCCTTGTTCACCAGCTTCCTTCTTTCAGCGTTGGACTTTTCTTCTTGACATACTACAGGTTGAGCATTTGATTCTCCTTTATCAATTCTGATCCACTCTCTTTGGTTGGATATGTTGATTTTAACTCCAGATTTAGGAGACTCTGAGATTGTAGACCTCTTCTTATATGGCAGTAGATCTGTTGGAATTGAGCACTTGCACTTTTCACACAGCTGAAACTCAGGCTTAGCTTCATCTTTTATTGCAGCCATAGTTGCTTCATTTCTTGTGGGCCATTGGATATGGAAGCTTTTCCCGATCATCTTTATGTCAGCAACAAATCTTCCAGTTTGATCACGAATGACACAGCTCCCTTCAAAGAAGTTAATCTCGTATCCACGATCAATCATTTGAGAGACGCTCAGGAGATTCTTGGTAATTTTGGGTACTAGGAAAACATCACGAATGATTCTTTTCCCATTGGTGGTTTCTACCTCAATATCTCCCTTGCCTTTTGTCATCAGCACATCTCCATTTCCTATACGAATAGGTACATTGAAGCTGGTGTCAAGGTTAGTAAAGATTGCTTCATTTGGAGTCATGTGATTTGTGCATCCGCTATCAATAAGCCAATTGTTGAGATCATTTGCATCTCCGTTTTCTTGTATTGCAGTGAACATATGGTAGTTCTCCTCCTTCACTTCTTCTTTCTCTTGGGTAACATTTGCTTCCTCGGATTTCTTGGCTTGGCAGTCTCTTGAGAAGTGACCAGATTTACCACAGACATAACAGTTCCTCAACCTACTATGTTTCTCAAAACACATGTCTTCATTGTGATTATCCCTTTTACAGTGACCACACCACCTTCTCTTTCTGTAACTTGACTGACCTTGATTTGTTCTGCCATTGTTCTCCATGTTTGGATTCTTGAAGCGGGCATAGAAGGCACCTTCAGAATCTTCTTCATCTTCTGGAAAGAACTTCTTTTCGTGTGCCTCCAATGAACCAATTAGTTCAGCATAAGTGACAGTCTTCAGGTCTTTGGTTTCTTCCATCAATGAGGACAAGGAGACATAGCTTTTGGGCATAGAAGCAAGCATCTTAACAACCAAATCAAAGTTAGATTTACCTTCTCCTAAGGTACTCATTTGGTTTGCAACCACTTGAATTCTATCAGAATATCCTTTAACCTTTTCCCCTTCTTTCATTTTCAGATTTTCAAACTCTCTCCTTAGTGACTGAAGTCTAACAGTTTTGACTTTTTCGTTACCTTGGTAAGAGTGCTCCAGAAGTATCCATGCTTGATGTGCCGAGGTTGCAGAGAGGATCTTGTCAAAGACCACATCAGCGACGGCAAGTTGAATGAGTTGGAGCGCAGCAGTATCTTTGGTTTTTAGAGCTTTCAGGTTTGCAGCTTCTTTGCCTTTATCTGCTCCTGGAGTTGTCTCTGGTAGTTGAGCAGTCGGTTCTGGGATTCCATCTTTAACAACTTCCCAGAGATCTTTATTCATGAGAGTTGTTCTCATTCTCGCAGCCCAGAATACATAATTCTGGCCATCAAACACAGCAACAAGTTGTGATGATTGCAGCAGGTTTATTGCCATTTCTTTCTTCTTTTCTGATTCTTCTTTGATGACTCTTGTTCAGGCTTCTTCACTTCTTTACTTCTTTCTTGTTTTAACAGGTTCCTAGGATAAGATGAGCTCTGATACCATGTTGAACTTTCTGAATTTGTAAGTTTCTCTTCACTCTTTATCTTTCTGATTTTCTTAACATATGTTTTTCATTTCATAATTTCACACCTTACAACATTGATTACACATACATACTTATAGTAGGAGTTTTCTTGCCCCATACTCTCACATTCTTAATCATAAGCTCTAGCTAACCTATTCTCCTTAGATGCACTGATCACTAGCTCTAGGTCTAAGCTTACAAGCAAAACAACTAACCACTCTCTTACACAGCCACTCAAGCTAACAACTCACGTAACATAACCAAACTAAGTTAACACTAATACTTAGGACATAACAACACATATAAACGTGTGGGCTTAAGTAACCCAACAACAAACAAAACATTCTTCTCTTGGGCCTATACCATCAAAGGCCCAAAACACTTCTTAACCCAAAAACACTTTGACTTCTTCTTCTTTCTTTAATCGACGTCACCAACGCTTCTTCTCTTCTTCACTAGATTATGGGTTTCTTTACACCAATCCACATCTTCTCTTCTTTGTTCTTCAAACCTTTATCATTGATGCTTGTATTCTTCTTTGCAGATTCAATTGGAGAGATCAATCTCAACAACCTTGCTAGGGAAAAAGAGTACAAGTAAACCACTTACCCAATTAGTGATCTTCTTGTATTTGGATACATGTCCTAATGCTTGATTCTGGTTTGTCTTGATTGAATCCATTTGAGCTTGATTCCATCTGTTTGAGAAGACCTCCTATTTATCCAGCAAGCTTCTTGGTTCTTGATCTTGTCATTGGTCCTTTTGAAAGCTTCAAGACCTCCTCAAGTTGTTCTCTGGTCCAAGCTCCTCCTCTAGCTCGATCGAGTCAGTCTTGGGTGTATGGTCGAGCTGCTCCTCCTTCTCCTCCAGCTTGATCGAGTCAGTCTTGGGTGTATGGTCGAGCTGCTCCTCCTGCTCCTCTAGCTCGATCGCAGTCTTAGGCGTATGGTCGAGTCTGTCCAAAATCACATCAGGTTGTATTTAACCAAACTCATCCACCGGATATTCTATATTTAATAATTTAGATATTTGGAAGATTTGATTAAGATTTAGAATTATGATTCTCCTATCATCTTTGTTTGATTTGTTTTTAACTGTTTTGAATCATCATATAATACATAAAGTAAAAAAAATCAATTTTTTTCTGCATATACTGTAATTCGAAATTTTAAAAACGGACATATATTATCCAATTGACAAAAAATGTGTTTTCAATGTTCCACATCGACTAAAATATTTAGACAATGATTCAGAATCATATCATAAATAAGATCAACATTAATAAAATAAATGAGTTTTTTTGCGGGATGGGTTTGGCGGGACATACGATAATAAAAAAATTAAAATATCATTAATTCACCGCTTCAATACGGATTAAATCCTTAATATTTTTTTAATACAACTAATATTAGACATATCAAATCAGTCTCATTTAGAAAAGATTGTATAAAACCAACAATTATCCCGTGGTATAATGTTACTTAATAACAATTGTAAACTATAAAATATAAATATCTTAAAGAATGATACAATTTCCAAACTTTTATATATAATAAATAATCGTTAAATTTTTTAAATTACTATTTTAGAAAATAAATTATGGGATAGGTTAAGAAATTATATGACTGGTTTTATTTCGGAACGGAGTTATATGATGGACGAGTTTGAATCAATATTTATAAAATTTTAAAATATCATTAATATGCCGCTTTAACACAAATTAAATCCTCAGTTTATTAAAATATAAATGTTTTACAGAATGATACAATTTGTAAACTTTTATATATAATAAATAATCATTAAATTTTAAATCACTACTTTTAGAAAACAAATCACGGGACTGATTAAGAAATTACAAGACGGGTTATATTTCGGAATGGGTTTATATGGCGGATGGGTTTGAGTCAATATTTATAAAATTTTAATATATCATTAACATGCCGCTTTAATATGGGTTAAATCTTCTGTTTACTAACAATTCTCCCGTGGACTCGTGGTATATCGTTACTTAATAACAATTGTAAACTATAAAATATAAATATTTTATAAGCAGATACAATTTGCAAAATTTTATATATACTAACTTAAAAAAATAAATTATCCCGCGGTACACCGCGGGTTAGAATCTAGTTGAGTAATATATTAGAAGATGTCTCACTTGTAGTATCTTTCTAAAATTTAAAAGTAAAATTTTATAATGTGTCAATTTTGCATTATTATTGACGCCATTCCTAGAAATTTACCGGAAGTAATGTTGCTCATGTTTTCATTGTATTGGTTGATTCTTTGCATGAACAAAATTATAAAAAAAAAAAATCATACGGACCTAGCCCATTATAACAATTAATTACATTTGGGCCTAAACTTAACAAGTTTAAGCAGCTAACTAAAAATACAAACTAACCTACTTCATCATAATCATAAAGATTTCATGCAACAAAGAATTGTGCAAAAAGACATCGAAAATTAAAAATTATCGTGATTCTATTAACTAAAAATTGTTTAGGCTTTTAACATATAAATTTGGAAATTTTATAACTACTAATATTTTGATTTATTAATTTATTTTAAACAAAAAGTATTCCAAACAAAAAAATGGAAACGGCTTTAAGAAAGAAAAAAAAATGAAAATTTATTTATCGGTTTCTTCTTCCTCGCAATAAGGCTTTAAATCAATACGCACTCTTTGCTCAGCCAATTAGGTTTCGGTGAGCAAATGGATGGGCTTAGCCCATACAATAGTAAGTTCCGGTAACTCATTTGGCCGACTTAGGAGGGATGGTTTATTCGGGTTTTGTAATTATGTTAACCGGTAAAAAATCGAATTGGTTTGGCTCATAATTAGGTTTTATGGAAACGGTATCGGTTTAAAGTGAACCCTGGTCGAAATTGGTTTAGGAGGATGGGGTTTCCATATTTCCTTATTTATATGAGAAATAGTGGCCTTCACTTGTCACCTATCTTTCTCCACACGTAGAAAAAAAACCAATCTCTATCTCTCTGAAGTTTCTCTGTGGTGAAATTGAGAAAATCAGAATGGTGAAAAAAGGAGGCACGAAGAGGAAGATTGCGATTGAGACGATACAGAATAGAGATTCCCTTAGGGTTACTTGCACCAAACGCCGTGAAGGTCTCTTTAGCAAAGCCTCTCAGCTTTGTCTTCTCTCCGGTGCACAAATCGCTATCTTAGCCACTCCTCCTTCTTCTGAATCCAACGTCTCCTTCTACTCTTTCGGTCACTCCTCTGTTGATGCCGTTGTCTCTGCTTTTCTCTCTGGACAACGTCCTGTTTCGGCTCCTGTTCCGGAGGATAACAAAGAGATGAGGGAGGACGTTGGTATCTGCTTGACTCGTAAGAATCTAGGGTTAGGGTTTTGGTGGAATAACGAGAGCCTTGCCAGATCGGAGAATCCTCAAGAGCTTAGTGACGCTATCGATTCCATGTGGACGTTGTTGAGTAATCTCAAGGAATTGCGTGCGGATGAAGCTTTCGTTAATGATCACGAGGACTTGAAGAAGAATGAGAAGAGCGATCAAACCCTAAATCTTCAGTCCACTTCCGCAATTTGTTGCATTCCTGATGATTTACCTGAAACTATCAACGAGATTACTCAAGAGCCAGTTCAAACCCTAAATCTTCAGTCCACTACTACAATTTGTTGCGTCCCTGATGATCTCGCTGTACTCGATGATGAAGAGCAGGATCAGATCCTCTCGATTTGTGAAAGCTTTTGTGTGACGGACAACAACAACAATGCCTTACCTGAAGGAAACTTGGATTATGGTCCAGAGATGGATATTGATATTGATCAACTCGTTGATTTCGAGACAAATTTTGAAAGCTCCCTCGATGATTGGTTTTCCAACAACACTCAACAGGAACTTGAGGAGACCAATGGAAACTGGTTTGACCTCGATCAGTTTTCCATATATGTATGAGGGAAATTGATCGAACTCAAACTGGTTCTGCTTCAGTTTTGGTTTGTTTAATGATAATGTTTTAAGTTCTGGTTTCATGTTTTGTATTTGTATTTGTGTTCTGGTTCTCTGTTTTGTGTTTGACTTATTTGTTTGTTAAAGTCTAAACTCATGTCATTTGTCTATAAATCTACTCGGATCAAAAAGGAAATATTCTTTAATCTATGGCTGATCTTATCTGATAAATTTTGGTAGATAACCAAAAAGGTAATCAATGAGCATTTACAACAGAAGCATGCGTGACCAAAAAAGCATATGCATGTGCCTAAGCAATCCCTGGCTTTCTTCCATGAGATTCTTCAGATTCATCAACCTTTGAGGCTTGTCTTATTCTGCTTGCTGAAAATTCCACATATGTGTCTATACCAGAAGTGAGAATTACCTTTTTTTATGTTTGAACACAAAATGGTTATAAGAAAACACAAGAGAGAGATGAGTTTTTGGTTACCGTTGGTTTCTGCAAATTCTTGTGGGCATAATGTTCACTTCTTCTCTCGTGTACTAGTAGAAATGCGCATTTGAAAGTGAAGAACAGAATCAGAGTAGCGAGAGAGAAGACCACAAGAGACTCTACCACAATCACAGATCCTATAACTGCAACCAAGTGACATAAAGGTATTAGAGATGTGTACCAAACCATTTTTCCAAGCAAAACTCAAAATGATCATTCCACCAATCACCTAACTCTTTATTACATGTACGTTCAAATATGCGTCTAATATGATCTTCATGTTCAAAATGAAAAACCGAACTAATCAAATTTAGACTAAACAAAATGAAACCAAAAAGAACCATCAACAAACTAAAAAGCTTAATTGAAGCCAAACTAAAATCAAACCATAGTTCTTTTGGTTATATAATTTGGCAAGGTTCCATTAAGTTTGGTTTAAGCTGACTCATTCCCATTACTCTCCAGCATTATATATTGAGGAACATTAATAAACGGTGGATCATTTACAGGTTCAACGAAAACCGGAACATCCAGATGATTGATCCCATTCTTGTTCTTTGTAGACAGCCGAAGAGAATCAACACCAGCAAAATTCTCATTTCCGAGGCAGGCAGAACCAAAGAATCTGTGGTTTCATACATACCCGAGATATTTGAATCGACTGAAGTGCCGGATTGATAACTCCTATTTGCTCTTCTTAAACCTAAACGGTAGCCATTTCTTTCAATGCAACACAACTGCAGGATTAGGACAAATTCCTCTTGATTAACATTTACGTTCAGGTACATAGCCTATTGCTGCCGATTCCTTAAGTGAGTCATAGTAGCTTGTATGCAGCTGGTTGTTTGAATACTAGACATATATTACAACTTACTACGTCTAATGATCAAGACATATCTAAAACCTAGTCACAAATATGCCAAAGCTCGAGATCAAACTTCATGTGTCCCTCTATATGAGAGGGATTAAACAAACATATACCCAAATGTTCTAGAGAGATTATATAATCCACTTGGAAAGATGAATAGTAGTAAAAAAGTTTCATACACGTCAAGAATACCGATGTGTAATCCATCTCTGATAGTCTCAAAAACTTCACAAAACAAAACTGTAGTTGAATCCTCCAACAGGAACTGGAACTGAAAGACCAGATCATCATCACCTTGGAGGTTGTTGTGTCTCCTCATCATCTTCTTCTACATCCCAGTATGTCTCCAGAATCTTCAAAGCCTTATCATAGATCTCATTGCTTTCGTGTTTTAGCAGGTTCTCAATCTTTTCCACTCCTTTCGCATCTTCAATCAGTTGGCAATAATAGTTCACGTCTCCTGTGTTCTTTTCCGCCTCTCTGGCCTTCAAAATGTTTTCCAACCCATCCAGACACACTGAGATGATCATTACATCTGGACATACCAGGAGATCACATAGAGGTTTTGTGCAACCCTTCTCCACCAAGTATCTGAATCACATCAATGAAGATTGTGACTTAATGATCAATAAGCATGAAAAAAGTGATAAAGAGAGACGACAGGGATGTACTTGATTTGATTCTGCAAATTAATTCTTGTGGGCATAATGTTCACTTCCTTCTCTCGTGTACTAGTAGAAATGCGCATTTGCAAGAGAAGAACAGAATCAGAGTAGCGAGAGAGAAGACCACAAGAGACTCCACCACAATCACAGATCCTATAACTGCAACCAAGTGACATAAAGGTATTAGAGATGTGTACCAAACCATTTTTCCAAGCAAAACTCGAAATGACCATTCCACCAATCACCTAACTCTTTATTACATGTACGTTCAAATATGCGTTTAATATGATCTCCCTGTTCAAAAGAATAACCGAACTAAAAAACTAAACAAAATGAAACCAAAAAGAACCATCAACATACTAAAAAGCTTAATTAATAAGCCAAACCAAAATCAAACCATAGTTCTTTTGGTTATATAATTTGGCAAGGTTTTTATGAAACAGAGTAAACCAAACTGAATGGAACCACTACCAAGTGTTCATAAACGTACCGTGTGCTCCAAGGGAATTCAAGGGCCTCTTCCTAATGAGTTTTACTCGAGCTTCTGCGTGAAGAGGCAATGAAGCACCCGTAACTCCCCATGTCACTCAGTTTCAAAGTCAAAACCGCACCATTCTCTCCTCCCTACACCTCCCTACACAAGATTTGTGATGATAATGTACATAAGAGAAACCAAAAACATCTAACTGTGAAAGATCGACAGTAAAATTTACGCGATGGAGCAGCTGTTGCATTGCTTTATAGTTCCACAAAACCTGATCCCACTAGCTTTGACATTCACGTGTTTAGAAATGGCAGCATACGTCTGAATTGGCTGCCATTGGAACATGTTTTTGAACTTCAGCTCTGTTGAGTTTATAAGCTCCGAAGGTAAGTGTGTCAGCAGAAACCCGTCAGTGACTTCATGTTATAGGAAAATGGTAGGCTGGGATGACGTGGAAGGTTAATGAAATCTAATTGGTGGAGGTGTAAGTTGTGAGTTGGCAACTAATGATTGGCTGGAAATGAGGAGAAGAACTGAAGCTAAATAGAATTCGAAGATCGATTGTGGAGGATAACCAGAAAAATATCTAAGTTTGTATCTTCTTCTTCTTCAATTCTCTCTGTAAACTCTTTAGGGTTTTTGATATCTCATTGTTGCTAGAGCTGTTTCTACTTCTAAGCTCTATCACATGAGATTTGGATTCTCGTTTTATGAACGACGATTCAATTGTGTTTATCAGAATCTATTGTGTTTATCAGAATCGTGAGTTTTACTGTATCAAAGGTATCAGAGCCAACAGATTCTCGGAATCCATGGCGGAGACAAGATCGCAAACTCCAATCAAGGAGACGGTGGCTAGAGAAGCGACCGCAGTGGTTCGTGAAACGGTATCAGAGATGTGGCTTCGATCGCATTCGAGATACGCAGATCCTAAAAGGTTAGAGATAGTTGATTTTCCACGATTTCATGGTGATAAAATCATGGATTGGTTGTTTCAGATTGAACAATTCTTCTTAATTGATCGTACTCCGGAGGAATTTAAAGTTGGTATCGCTTCAATCCATTTCGATGACATTGTTGCGACTTTGCACCAATCAATTGTACAATCAATGTGGTGGAAGCATGTTAGGCATGATTGGTGGAGTTACAAACTGCTGTTGCAAGTGAGATATAATAAGCATGTGGATGATTCGATTGCAAAACTGAAATTGTTGCAGGAAATTGAAGGAATTGAAGTTTATCATGCTCGTTTCGAGTCGATTAGCACTAGAGTGAAGTTAGATGAAGATTACTTGGTAAGTCTGTATTTGACAGGACTGGAAAATGATACTCAAGTGAATGTCAAGATGTTTCAACCTCAGACGATTCAACAATGTTTCTTGATTGGAAAATTGTATGAGCGAGCACATCCCAAGAAGAACAATGTAAACAATTGGTCTGGTGCTAAATGGAGTGGAAGTAGCAATCAGTCTAAAGGGATTTTATCATCTAAACCGGAGACTGATCATAAAACAGTACTTCTTACTAGTATGGAGAGACCTAAGGATACTACAACGCAGCCTCACAAAGTCTTATCCACTGAAGATATGAGTAAGCGAAGGGATCAAAAACTTTGTTATGTTGGTGATGAGAAGTACAAAAATCCACGATTTGGAGCTGAAGAGGATGGTGGGGAATTGGAAGAAGTACATGCAAAGAAGGTTGAATTGGAGGAAACTGGAGTAATAGCTCATATTTCTGTTAAAGCAGTTTCAGGAATCTCTGATTATCGAATGATGAGGGTGAAGGGTTCTTATGAGAAGCAAGTCTTGTATATACTTCTTGACTCGAGTTCTACACACAACTTCATGGATCCTAAAGTAGCTGAGAAATTGAAATGTGTTTTAAAACCTGCAAGTATGGCTAGAGTTTTAGTCGATGATGGGAGAATGTTGGAGGTTGATGCTAAAATAGATAAGTTCCAATGGGAATTTAGAGGCACACAATTTCAGGCTGATCTTATGATAATTCCCTTGAAGGGGTGTGATATGGTATTAGGCGCTCAATGGATGGGGACATTGGGGCCAATAACTTGTGATTTTAAGAAGTTAGAGATGCAGTTCCGTTTAGGACATAAAAAGGTTCTTCTTCAGGGTATTAGGCAAGGCTCCGTCAGAGATGTGAAGGCATTAAAGCTTCATAAGCGGAGAGAAGATCAAGTTCAACCTTCCATGATATGTGTTCATGAAGTTCCTACGGAGGAACTGTGCTCTTTGGAAGCTAAACATCACTCTAGCCAAACAGGTTTTGAAGGGGAGCAATTGGTGAAAAGTTTATTGCTGCAACATGAAACGATTTGTGCCAAAAAATCGATGGAAATGTTGGCGTGGACTGATGCAAATTCAGAACTGAAATTACACAAGGTCATTTGTTCTTCAAGAGAAGAAATCACAGGGTTTTTCTTCGAAGTGGCGGATTGGTGTGAGCAGTCAACATATGTCTGTGGGCTGAATGTGGTTTATGTACTACACTGGTTTGATAGAACCACTTGGCTTACCAATTCTTGGTGGAGTAAGTTTTTAAAAGATTGGTGTTTTAAGTACAAAACTGAGATGGCGAAGAAATGGAAACTTTGAGGTGCTAAGAAGTATCAACGGAGGCTTAAATACAACAAGTTCTTATGATATTGAGAGAAATCCGTCTCATCATTACTCTGTAAATTGGAAAACCATGAACCTTGAGGTCAAGGTTCTCTAAGGAGGGGAGATTTGTTATAGGAAAATGGTAGGCTGGGATGACGTGGAAGGTTAATGAAATCTAATTGGTGGAGGTGTAAGTTGTGAGTTGGCAACTAATGATTGGCTGGAAATGAGGAGAAGAACTGAAGCTAAATAGAATTCGAAGATCGATTGTGGAGGATAACCAGAAAAATATCTAAGTTTGTATCTTCTTCTTCTTCAATTCTCTCTGTAAACTCTTTAGGGTTTTTGATATCTCATTGTTGCTAGAGCTGTTTCTACTTCTAAGCTCTATCACATGAGATTTGGATTCTCGTTTTATGAACGACGATTCAATTGTGTTTATCAGAATCTATTGTGTTTATCAGAATCGTGAGTTTTACTCTTCAACGGAAAACGTTACTAAGAAATGAGATTCACCACCTGACATTTTGCTTTCATCAGTCAAAAAAGGGATTGTTACTAGCTTGAAAGTGATCAAGAGTGAATTGTGTCGTAAACATTACCGGGAAAATGAACAAGATCTGGATCTCCAACTGAGAAGTTGAACTTGTGTCTTTCCGGGTGAAAGATAAGTGACTCACTCCCATTACTCTCCAGCATTATATATTGAGGAACATTAATAAACGGTGGATCATTGACGGGTTCAACGAAAACCGGAACATCCAGATGATTGATCCCATTCTTGTTCTTTGTGGACAGCCGAAGAGAATCAACACCAGCAAAATTCTCATTTCTGAGGCAGGCAGAACCAAAGAAAACAAAGTTGAAATTAGCAAAATCTGAAACTCGCTTATGATGCCACAAAGAGTATCTGTGGCTTCATATATACCCGAGATATTGAATCGACTGAAGTGCCGGATTGATAACTCCTATTTGCTCTTCTTGAACCTAAACAGTAGCCATTTCTTTCAATGCAACACAACTGCAGGATTAGGACAAATTCCTCTGAGTACTAGCAAGAAGCTCCTAATCTATTGATTAACATTTAGGTTCAGGTACATAGCGTATTGCTGCCAATTCCTTAAGTGAGTCATAGTTGCTTGTATGCAGGTGAGTTGAATACTAGACAGATATTGCAACTTACTACGTCTAATGATCAAGACATATCTAAAACCTAGTCACAAATAAGCCAAAGTTCGAGATCAAACTTCATATGTGTCCCTCTATATGAGAGTGAATAAACAAACATATACCCAAATGTCCTAGATAGATTATACAATCAACTTGGAAAGATGAATAGTAATCAAAAGTTTCATACATGTAAAGAATTCCGATGTGTAATCCATCACTTCTGCTAGCTTTTAGGTTGAATACATTTGAAGTTGGCAAAAGAATCCAACTCTGATAGTCTCAAAAACTTCACAAAACAAAACTGTAGTTGAATCCTCCAACAGGAACTGGAACTGAAAGACCAGATCATCATCACCTTGGAGGCACGAGGAGGAAAATCAAAATCAGATTGAGATAAAGAAAATTACGAAGAAGACTTCTCTCATGCCAATTTGCACTAAACGCCGTGAAGGTCTCTATAGCAAAGCCTCTCAGCTTTGTCTTCTTTCCGGTGCACAAATAGCCATCTTAGCGACTCCTCCTTCTTCTGAATCCAACGTCTCCTTCTACTCTTTCGGTCACTCCTCCGTTGATGGTGTTGTCTCTGCTTTTCTCTCGGAACAACGTCCTGTTTCGGCTCCTGTTCCGGAGGATAACAAAGCGATGAGGGAAGACGTTGGTATCTGCTTAACTCGCAAGAATCTAGGGTTAGGGTTTTGGTGGAATAACGAGAGCCTTGCCAGATCGGAGAATCCTCAAGAGCTTAGTGATGCGATCGATTCCATGTGGGCGTTGTTGAGTAATCTAAAGGAATTGCGTGCAGAGGAAGCTTTTGTTAACAATCACAATGACTTGAAGAAGAATGAGAAGAGCGATCAAACCCTAAATCTTCAGTCCACTTCCGCAATTTGTTGCATTCCTGATGATTCACCTGAAAATTTCAACGAGATTACTCAAGAGCCAGACCAAACCCAAAATCTTCAGTCCAATAATTCTACAATTTGTTGCTTCCCTGATGATCTCGTTGTACTCGATGATGATTTACCTGAAAATTTCAACGAGATCACTGAAGAACAAGATCAGATTCTCTCGATTTGTGAAAGCTTTTGTGTTACGGACAACAACAACAACAAGAATGCCTTGCCTGAAGTAAGCTTGGATTATGATCAAGACATGGATATTGATCAACTCATTGATTTCGAGACTAATTTTGAAAGCTCGCTAGATGATTGGTTTTCGGACAACACTCATCAGGAACTTCAGGCGTGACTATGAGTAAAAAAAAAAGGCATTTGTGTTGACATTCTCACACTTCACCACCTTAACTCTCAGTTTCTCTCTGTTTTGTTTTGAGAAACAAGAACACGTTTATGAACTTTTAATGTCTACATGATAATATTGGATCAATGGATAACATTACACAACACCACACACTCATACATATACTACTTTACTTCTACTTCTACTTTCTACATACACATACACACTTGCACTTGGACCTTACTCCTAGTTCTAGACTCTCTTACACAAGCAAGGTAGCCACCCTACACATTGAAATTGGAACACTAGTTCCTTGATTCACTCTCTTCTTTTAGACTCTAACTAGGACTTAGACAAACTAAACATACTTGGGCCTACTTCATTTGCAGCCCATTACAACCTTATTACAAAACACAAAGCCCAACTCCTTTCTCATGTTGACTTTGCATCTGTCGTTGACCCTTGTCTCACGAGTCGTGAGTCACGACATCTTCTTCTTCTTCTTCCTTCGTCTTCTTCGCTTGGCTTCTCTTTTCTCTTCATCTTTTCCTTCTCATGAAGCTTTTCTCTTTTGCAGGTTTAATTAAAAGATTCAATTCCAACAATTTGCCTTAGGTCCCCTCTAAATTAAACAAATTTTGGCCCTAAATTTTAAATAATTATATAGTATATTAGTCAAATATTTTTACTTTTAGTGTTATTTTTTTAAGTTTGAAATTTTATTTAATATATCCAAACTATTATTATTTATCTCTAATAATTTACAATATAATGTTTTTGAATTTTAGTATTTTTCATAGATAAAAAGTGTTAACTAAGAAAATAGAATACAAAAATTGTACAAAATTATATATTTATAGTTAATTGTACAAAATGTTATTATCATATATTAAGAACATAGTGTTAAATATCTCTAGTTTCTTACAAAAAATATTTTTAGTTTTAGTTATAAGTTACAACACATTTTATTATGAAAATGTATAAACCATTTTTTTTTTAGGCCACCAAAACTCTAGGCACGACATTTTAGGAGACTAATGCAAGTGTTTTGACCAATCCTGAAGCTGTTGATGATCATGTCTCTATGGATCCAAATATGTTTTCTGATTTTGAGGGCATTGAAGATGGAGACTTAGTGTTTCAGAGATGTTTTGATGATGATGATCTACGATTCTCTGATATTTTCAAAGACTTTGCAAACACCATTGCGGCAATTTGAAGATATCTCTGCAGTTTTTCAAACTAGGAAAGGATAAAGATGATGATTGTATTGGTGAAAAAGCCCAAGTTTGAAGCATCAGTGGTCATTCAAAGAGGATGTGATATATTATTTCCTCCTCATCTCCACATCTAGGGAAGATCTTCTCCTTACCAATGTGACGGTAGAATAGGATATGATATTATGCCAAATACCCTGATAGACAATGCCACACAAAAAATGCTTAAATTTTTGGGTAGTTTTAAGCTTTCAAACTTAGGCCAAAAGGGGAGTGATCTCAGGTCCTTGAAAAAGGTGGTCACAAGTTGGGCAAGAAAGATCCCGCGCGGCCCAATACACTGACTTAAACTTGTAATAATATGTTCAGAGCATTCTTTGGCCAACCCCATCAAGCAGGGCTTGTACTCCTAATTGTTATTACTAAATTTTGGCTTTAATTTTATAGATATTCTTTTCGTCTTGCATTTATTACTTTTATAAGTTCAAACCACAAAAATGTCATTATCATATATATATGAAGATTATATTAGTCTAAATGGGAAGATGCTCACCTCAAAATGGGGATACTTTAGAAAAATGAAACACTCGTGTCCTTGTTCTCCTTGTTCGCAAAACTCACAATGGAGAATCATAAACATATACGAGGTTGGATCTTTTATCTTATTTGGCAGACAATAAAAACATTAAAAAGTTGCATAAGTAATATGTCCATAAAAATATGAAGAAAAAGATATGTGAAGAAAAAAATAAATGGATTAATGGTAAAAGCCTCCTAGGTTTATTGGGAGAGTAGAGAGAAAGAAGGAAAATCGGTATAAATAAAGAGAAAAAAAAATGATGAAGGCTGGAGTTTGGGAATCGAAAAAGGAGAGAGAAAGAGGAAGGATATAGATAAAGGAAAGAGAGGGTAGTTCGGTCTTTTGACTTTGATGTTATGGCAATTGAAAAAACGGCAAACACAGTATGACATATCTGATAAGTTTTTGAATAATATGTGGCATTCTTCTTAATTTTCTCTATCATAAACATCAATGAGATTATTTCCTATTCCACCAACAAGATCCATCCAATGCCACTAATTCATGTCCGGTCCGTAAACCATTTAATTAATTGGCAATGAAATGGATTGGATGGGCTTGGCTTATATACTCACCACAACATGTCTATGGATAGTCATACAACGCATAGCCATGAGCAATCCAAAAAGCACTTTGTTTAGGGGGTTAGTTATTCTTAGGTTTGAGTTTCTTTGTAATTTGTTTATATGTTTTTTTTTGTATAATAACTTATCTATGTAATAAATCTTTTAATTGAAGTAAGATGTTATCAAATTAAAAGGTCGAATACACATCTTAAATAAGAAAATGGAGAAAAGTAGCACTCCCAAAATCGTAGGTTAATTCATTGTTGAAGTACGTAAATATAAATCATGAACTTCTATAACTGATAAATCGTTAGAAAAAGAGATCAATGTGAATGGTGAAGAAGTTGGTGTATTAGAAAATGGCTAAGATAGAAAATAGTTTTTATGAAAATGTGTAAAAGCGGCCCATTTGTTTTTTTGTTTCGGCCTTTTAAAGTTCGGGGTTTAACCGTAATTAGCTTTGACCTAGTGTCTTCAATATCCTCCATATATATACATATATTTGTTTGTGTCAAAATCATACAATTTAGATTCGTATCATAGCTTTCAGAAACCTAAAATACCTACACAAAAAATTTCTTTTCAAAACCCTCGACTCTTTTTTTATTTCTTCTTCTTTAGCCGCCAACTTTTCTTTTTTCTTCTCCGATTTCCCCCTCTTAGTGAAACAATCACCACTGCCTATTACGCTATCTCTCTAAGAGGTAACCACATCAATTTATGATTGGTAGTGATTGGATTGTCCAGTATCGTAAATTTTGCAGTGTCATTTTGCAGATCTAGAATTGGGAAGCTCTCGTGATGGCCAAATCTGAAGAGGGCTTGGGGCCAAAGTTTTCTCTTAGAAAGCACAGATAACGATTGAACCAATTTTTAAAGAAGATCTTATTCATAATTCCTTAGAGACGATTCAAGAAGAAGTTGATCTTTTTTCCCATGTTTTTATTTTTTTTCATGAGGATTGGAAGGGCCTAGAAGAGACAAGCAGTGATTTCGAAGGTATGAATGACACCAAAAATTTGAAAAAAGTTTTTTTTTTCCTTTCTTTGGACAGAGAGAGAATATTTTGCTGAAATCAAGTTCGAGAGATCGTGTTGGTTGGTAACGGTTTGGATTGTGTTAACAACATCTAGTTTACCGAAAATGTTTCGATGATATCAAGGTCGAGAGATAGTATCTCTATGTGCTTGAAGATTTTGGACAACACACTTTTTTGTAGAAAAGATCAGATGGGAAGAAACGATGAGACACACACCACCAAGGAGTTCCACCTACTTATCTGAGGACTCTGACAACTTTGATATTTGCTTTGGATGCGATATTGATTGTGGACAAAATAGACTCTTCACTAGTAAGTATTTATGATTAAGAAATTAAAAAATCAATTGATATCTGATCTTTTGTGTTGGTTGAAAATGTTTTTGATAATGTTTAAAACTTTGATTCTTTTTCTTATATCAAACAAAAAAATACTTAAATAATAAAATATTGTCTTTTTCATTAATATTTTCAGCTAGATATGTTTTACTTCGAAATTACAATCGAAAGTTTTTGATTTTATTGGTAAAGATTAGTAGTCTTTCAATTGTAATCTTTTGCATGTTTGCTGATATAAAAGTTATTCATATCTTGTCATATAGAGTTTGACACATTGTAGAACATCATGTCTCATTGGATATTTTACCTTTTTTCTATATGCACAATTATTAATTACTAATAACATCTTCAAATATTTAGAATCTTTTTTGGGTATCTCAACATTTAAAGATTAATATTTTCATATAGTTTAATTATATAATTAAGTTTTAATTTAAAAAATAAGTAAACCAATAAAAAATATAAATACCAAGAAAAACCGATTCTCATATGGCTAATGTTTTAGAAATTTTTTTTATGTAACAAACATTAATTAAAAAATATTTTTCTTTTTTACAAATATGATAATATACGTTTTATTGGAAATTTAATTTTTGGAAAAAACAATTTGTTCCATCATATTTTCGGGATGTTTTAGTGAGTTTCATCCTTTTATTGGAGGATTCTGTCATTTCTTCTAATCTCTTGAGATTCCACATAGAAGCCACAACCAGCAACTTGAACTTCTTATTATTATGAGAGCATATGCACAATATCCCGTACATACGACATTCGATTAGTTCAAGCGACTCAAGATGGATGTAGTTCCTGAAAATAGCATCTATCGTCTCTTCCACCACTTCAGTCCGCATAAGCGAGTGTCCTGAACAACCTTAGGCCTTTGGGAGAATTATATAGTATTTTAAACTTACACCATCGTAGATTCAAGACTTTAAGTGTTTCCATAGCCGAGAAATCGATCAAGATCTCCATAACATTCTTGGATTTTGGAGAAATCTAACACTAGCTCTTGGATGTTTTTAACAATGCATGTATCCACGAGATGATTTTTAACCCAAAGATGATTGATAAACCAAACGAATCTGACTCCACCGATTTGTTTGTTCATCAATAATCTTTGGGTATAAGTTAAAATCATCTCGTGGATCAATACATGTATTGGTTAAAACATCAAACAGAATTATCTAGATTTCTCCAAATGTAAGAAAATTATGGAGATCCCGATCAATTTCTCGGCGGTGGAGACTCTACAAGTTTTGAAGCTGCGATCGTGTAAATTTAAAATACCAAGTAATTCTTAAAAAGGTCTAAGGTTCTTGAGTACACTCTGGCTTCTGCTTACCAAGGTGGCGAAAGTGTTGATAGATGAAATTATCAAGGTGGTGAATCACTTGAACTAATCAAATGATGTATGTGAATGCTATAAAGTATATACGCTCAGTCGCTCATAATCACAAGAAGTTTATGCTGTTGCTCTTGTCTTTTATGCGTAATTACCGGCACATCATTTTGGACGAACCTACTTTACGAAACTGCAAGTATGATGAAATAGTTAATACAAGTTTGCACTCTTTTTGACATCGCTGAACTCGAAGTGACCTCTCTCTCTCTCGTTTCGTAGAGTTCTATTGAGATTTGGTTGATTTTGTAGTTTTGTTTCATCGTTTTACTTTTAACGATTTGAATATTTTATAAAAGATAATGCATTTCTTGATAGATTTTCTTACGTTCCCATACTTCTCTTATGTTGAAAAAGAGAGCAACTACTCTCTGACTTCTACCCACTCCCTAGCTACATTACTCTAAACACACTTAACTTAGGTTATAATTACACATTCTTAAGTTCTTAACTACTCCCTTAGACGTAACAAAAGTTTTGGGCTTATAACTACAACAAAAGCCTAACCATAACTTAGTTTCAAGATTTAAAAAAAAAAAAAAACTTAGTTTCAAGTTTCAACCCATGAACCACTTTTGACTCTTTTTTTTCTTCGACTTTTTTTTTTCTTCCTCTTCTACTTGTTTTGATATCTTATTCATTTCCCTTATTGTTGTTACTAGATTTATTCGCCCAACGCACGGGATATCAAATTAAAACTGACCGCCAAAAAAAATATTAAAAATAATGATACTTGTTTTACAAAACAATATACAACATAGAAAATAATAGAAAATATTTGGTAGGTACCAAGTAATAACAAAAGTTATATATGATGAATCGTTCTTAGTAGCCATCCATGAATTTTTATCAAAAAAAGAGTTCATTCCATAAACATAACTTTTAAGTACTATTATTATATACTAGAAGTAAATTTGTTGAGTTTGAACATCAATTTATGAAAATGTATAAACGTAATATTCGTACTGTTTCAATAGGTTAGGAGACCACAATTTGAAGCAAGACCAACGTATTTTAAAGAAAGTTTTGACCAAATCATAAATGTCCATATCTTACCTATCTTACTACGCTTACATGACTCAACATTTCATATAGTGAATGAGATCAAAATGAGTTTACTTTAGTCATGTGTATACATATATCCGATGCTTCAAGCATTAGTCAATTTTTCTTTAAACATTTTTTCTCTCTCATTTTTTCGTCATCTTCTATGATGCACTTGTTCGCCTCTGAACATTTACTCTTCTTTTATCTTCTATGTTGTAAGTTGTAACATATAATGAAACTTTGAATTGATTTTTGACTCAAAACTATTTCCTCAATTTCATCTGCTTAGTCTATTTAATCTTATTAATTACATGATTTTCTTGCTCACTTGAGAGGAAAATATATATTTGTGAAAATTTCTCGGCACTTATTTAGATTTTTACCTATATTTAAGCATTTTCACCTTTTTTATTTAGAAAGAAAACAATAATATAGACATAATTCTATTTTTTTTTGTTATATTTTACTATAATTTAATATTAAGATACACTTAATCTTTCTATTTTTTTCGTCAATGTAAATTTATATTTTTACTCTCTTGAAATGTAATTTCCAATTTTAAACATGAATTATTTCTTATATCTTAAAAACACTTATACATTCATACATTTACAATAACATTTCAACATTTCTTCTTTTCTACCTTAAAAATAATTTTATTTTAAATAAATTTCTTCCACTTCACATTCAAAAAAAAAATTTCTTCCACTTCATTATTATCTCTCTAAGTTAATGTCTCCAGGAAATATGAATATTTTCTTATTATTAAGTTATTATGTGTTTGTAGTTGTATAATAAATTTCATTTAGAATTATTTTTGTCCATCTTAAATAACATTGGTATTTCTGTAAATTCATTTTTAATCCTTTTTATTTTTAATTATATATATAGGGATTATGGTCATTTTAAGTTATATATTACACAAATTTAATTTTAAGTGTTTTATACATATATATGTTACATTTTTTATTCTTATTCAACTAAACTTTATTTAAAATTGTGTATTGATTAATTGAAAATTAGCTCTTAGATAATTAGATGTAATTACCCATAAAATTAAATATTGGGAAATAATTATTAGTGGGGCCATACTATTATTTTGGTGATGATGTGGACATTCTAAGAGGAGAGAAAACTCTCTCATTATATATATAGAAAAACTTTTCTTAGATAATTAGATGTAATTACCCATAAAATTAAATATTGGGAAATAATTATTAGTGGAGCCATACTATTATTTTGGTGATGATGTGGACATTCTAAGAGGAGAGAAAACTCTTCCATTATATATATATAGATTAACTTATTATTATTAGTATTATGGGAAATTGTTAAAAATGCCCCTTTTGGTGTGTCCCTTTTCAAAAATGCCCCTTTTAGATGTCCATTTTCAAAAATGCCCCTTTTTAAATCTGAAATTTTTATAAAGTTTTATTAGGTTTATAAGGTACTTATGGATTGTAACTACTACTTGAAGACTCGATCCAAGTATTTATAAGGTTTTATAAGGTGTTTTTAAAGGTTTTACAAGTTACTAGGTGATTGCCCGCGCGCATGCGCGGGAAGAATGCTGTACAAATGGTAAAATCATGTGAAATAAGGGATTGTTTAGGTGTTACTTGGTAGTGTAAGAAAAATATGATAAATTGTTTAGGATTTAGTATGATAAAATTATGGAAAATGATGAAATTTAAAAAATTCAATAATATTATAAATGCTAAAAAATAATAATAAATCATCTTTTAAAACCATTCACCAAGAAAATAAAAAATCAACGAACATCATCACTCCATGGCATTCTCCTTGCGTGTGATGATAGGTACTTGGTCGTTTTCAGGAATCCTAACATCCGATTTAGAACACCATAAACAGTGAATGTCTAGTCGCCAACTTTAAAGTTTTGATTGTAAACGGGAAAAAAAAAATAATTACCAACAAAGCATCTCGTCGGTAATACTGTGATCCGGATTCAACATAATCCTCGTACTTCCGGTAACGTTGGTACATCTCCACCTATGTTCCTGTGATAGCTCTAATTTCACAAACTTGATAATACATATCACTGTGTTACGTGAACAATGCTTCCATAAGTCATAGAACTCGACTGCAAGGTCACCCGTTAAACGACACTCTAGATGGATACACCTAATTTTAAGATTTGAAGAAGTCATAAGACTTTATATTCTGGTTTAAATCTTTAAAAAAATAGTGACTTACTCAGTATCACGTAAACCAAAGTATAGCTCAAAATATCTTCCTTGAGAATGTTCCACGGAAGGAACAAAAATCAACTCTCTCACGTTGACAATTTTGCCAAAAACATCTATGAAACACACATGAATAATACAGTCAGAACATGAATCGCAAATAAACTCCAAAAGCACAAATAAATTCATAAATTAGGCTTACCTACGCAAATATTCGGATTAACAATACCACTCAATATACTCACAAACTCAGTTAGATTGAAATAGGTTCTACTGGAGCACATATTAATACTTTACACTAAGGTGTCCGAACGAAACACAATCTTGAATCTATGCTGTATTGGTCTCAATATGTTGTTAACACGTGATA